GAACTGGGGAGGAAACAGGAGCTCACCCTGTTAACGCGAAGGCTGGACTCGAACCGCTGATAATTTAAAGTACTTTCCCTGTTTTAAATGTTCTTTCATTTGTCATTCCTACATGTCCTAGAATAACATGCAGATAGATAAGTAGGAAAATAGGAAGAAAACGCTTGCAAATATAACTTCCACACTTGTTTTATTAGCTTTTTTGTTGGAAAGCATTACATTTAGGAATAATATTGCACCCGGCATTAAAAAATAAGGATTTCTACCACAGGATGGTTTTGCATTCAGAATCCCATATAAATACTTCTAATTGTACTTTTATAACTGCAGATATAATATTTGGTTGCTTGATTTATAATGCATAGAAAGAAACAGTTGCCATAACTGCAAAATGCTGTATTTTGAAAAATAAAACAAGGTGCAGGGCTTGGCCTTAGAGGTTTGTTGGTAACTAAATTGTTGTAATACTGCTTGCTCACTGATCTAGGAAAAACTAGGTTAGTTTCCATGATGGTAGTATTTCATCTCCAAAAGCACCGTAACCATTTCTGGGGACAATCCAGAAGGAATTTCTCCAGCTTGAACTCATCTTGCATTTATCTCCATGTGATCTGCACAGAAAGGCATGGGAAATTACCTGTCTTATTCCCAGTGGTTTGTGATAATAGGAGATGGATTAAACACAGCTTGAACCTGGAGGCTGATTTTTATCATTCTATACTGAAGTCAATGACCACAACGAAAAGTGTCACAATGTGATCATTTACCATTTTTCTAAGGATGCCCTCTTATTTTATCCTTCGTTTTTAAAAAGTCATAATATTTGAGCAGCCACATACATACGTTTCTTACAAGACAAGAGACAGAAGAGTCCAGCACATGTCCGTTCTCCAGTCTTTAAAAATCAATAATAAATATTCATAGCAAAATAAGAAGAGAGAGCCTCCAATGCTGTTTTAGACAAAGCCAGACCCGTTTCTAATACGTTGTTCTGAGAAGCTGGACCATCTTCTTGAGAATAAAAGGAAAAACAGAGAATGAACAGGAAATTAATCATCTGTTTTCCGTGCCAGCCTGCAGAAAGTCCAGTTGTGCTCAACTGTGTTTTCGTTGGCTCGTTCGCTCATGTGGTGGACCCTCGTGTTTCGGATGGTGAAGCCTTGCTTTGTAATGTACTCCATCAGGTGGACTCTAAGAGAGACTTCTTGGTGGTAATCACAGGGCCCAAATGTGAAAGAAACCTGGCAGTCCCTAGTGTCCATCATATGTTTATTCCACTTGGTAAAATAGTTGGAAATGCCTTCCAGCAATGAGTGGACCTTAGTTGTGATGGTTAGTTGTGTTATGATCACTGCCACTGGGTTGGAGTACTTTGAAAGTTTGCGTGTACTGGACAGTTCCACTACCTCTTCAAAGGTATCCACAGAATACAAAGGTTTGGGGTCATTAAGACATTGTATTAAGGGTTCAATCTGGTAAAAATCTGCTTCTTTCCGAAGCAGATCGAATTCCTTAAAATCCAAAGGTAGAGTTAACTCTGAGGTTCGTAAAAAGTTGAGAACATACCGGAAAAGTGGCCCATCTCGGTCAATGAAGTAATTGCCCTGAGAATCTCTGGCAGTAGGGAAATCACCCCTGAACATGGCCCCTAACATCGAATCGGGATACCTTGTGAGAGTTGTAAGCGAAGTTGTATACAGGTGTCCACCCACATTTAGAGTGACCGGCTCAGTCATCTTGGGGAGGAAAAAGAAATAGTTTCAGAGCTCTTTTACACTCACATGAGCATGTTATCACTTTTTACGTATTCAACAAATCACCATAAAGAAATCCCCAACTTTTTAAAAAGATGAAATAGGAACTGTATAACTTAACACAATATCATCATAAAGAACACCTCCAGGTCAGAACGCTTGCAGAATACACATTCAAATTACTTGGGTAGCACACGCTACAGGCAGGTCACTTCTTGTTAGTTAAAGTCCCCCTGTAGGCTGCTTTACATCACTCCATGTGGCAACTTTCACAAACACTTGTCTCATTTACATACATCACTCGGCATACTTCTATGCTTTTCTCTATGTACTTTTCTTCTTGATTTTGGAGACAATGAAGACATCTAACTTTAACAGTAAGTGCTGCCCAACTGCAATTCACACCAGGAAAACAAAGCTGGTAAGTAGCATCGAATCCTATAATTGCTAGGAGCTGATTAGGCCACTGAGTGCAATCCACTGCTCTAATTCCAAATTAAAGCCTTTCCAACAATTAACTGTCTAGGTTCTGATTAACATATCCAGCAAAAAAAAAAAGGCTTATCAGTTTCTTGGTGCTCGAGCTCACTACTGAACTAGTCTTGTTGTTTGGAAGTATTTTTCTAACATTTAACTGGAAATTGCCTTTCTCGAATATTAATTCATTATGCCATCTCCTGAGCTCTGGAATGGAAGACAACAGGTTTGACCTTCTAATTAACCTTCATCTAAAAGGGTAAGCAAATCCAATAGGCCACAACTTAAAGCAGCATGCCTGTGACCTTTAGCTTCCCCTATAGGCTTTGTCATTTGAATTCCAGGATAGCTTATAATAGTCAAAAACAACCCAACTGAATAATAAAATTAAAAGAATTCAGTGTGGGAGGACCAATGTATCAGACTTGAATGGAGTTTTCAGAAGAAAAGAGCCAGATAACAAACAAGAAAACTCACTAAAATAACATTACAAATACAGCACAACTGAAAAGCAGTGATTCTGAGGTGTCTACTGGAGAAGCTGTAGAGATAAATAGCTTCTGGCAGGTAAGGCCCTTTCAAATATGACGTAGGGGCTCTAGAAAAGAGAAACAACTCGTAACATTTCCTTGTTCAATGGGGGAAAGAGTTCAAGCAGCAATGACTACTCTGAAACACAACTGGAAAGTACTTGGTCACTGGTTCATCGAAAAAATCATGCAGAAATAACATGGGGGCAGAATCCAAGGCACACAGAAATGTCTTGGAACATCTCTGCTGTGGAACTAAAGGAGATGTTCACTTGAATTAGCTAGGACATACGTATATTCCAAGAAGGATAACGGGTACTGGGAAATTCTCCAATATAAGCCTCACTGAATGAGATTTCACCAGGCAGCAGCCATTCTAGCAGGCAGAGATTGATTGAAAATGGGGTCGCTCCATCAGGCTTGCTGAAAGCCTGGCTCTGTGAAATGTCTCCTCTTCCTGTACAACCTCCATTTCTGCTAGTCACTGTCCATTTCTGTCACTATTTAGGAACTGCTTGTATTTTTTCTCTCCTTACCTTATATGTGTGTTTACATATGTACACTTGCACACCCACCTGTTTCAATTCTTCTCCTGAATTAGAAGTTAATGGTTGGCAATGGCAATTTTTTAAAGAAAGGAAACAAGTACACAACCTTTCAGAAAACACACACACACACACACAAATAATTGAGCACAGAGTCTGGGTGCTCTCAGACTAACAATTTGGAGATCATCTGACTTTATCAAATGCATAAACAAGGGCTTTCCAATCAGCATAAACACGGCCTCTGAATTCTCCTTCTTCTAATTAACATAGTAAATTAACTTTTGCTGTAGGTCTGAGAAGTCTGTTAGTATTTTTAAATGTAGCATTGGCATTAGGATAGCTATCTGTAAAAACAGCACTGTTTTATGTAACGTGCAGATCCACGCGTGTCACTTCTGAGAAATGTATGTTATTGGGCAACAGGAATACTTACTATATAGCCCCAGTCTCCATTATCCATCTGTTCCAATGTGCGATCTACGCAAACCTGGATTTATCTGAAGTGTTTTCAAAAAGCTGTACAATCCACCACTTATTCTACCCTGTTTGGGAGGCAGGGGGAGGGAGAGAGAAAGCATGGCAGGGTATGAGCACTTACAATAAACATAACAAGCGAGAAGTCTCTATCTCAGATTCTAGTTACAAAGAAACGCAAGTCAAATCGTACATGACAGAATACCTTCCCCCCTCCCAACTACTCTGAATCCTTTACAGCCTCACAGGAAATACAGAAACTGCTTGGTTATTCTGCCCGCCTTAAATAATGAGCTGTAGCTTCTCTGGAGAAGAAGATTGCATTTTGAAAATACCATATCATTTTATTTGGTCAAAAGCAGCTGGTTTTCAACAGCTGGTCAGTTCTGCCAAACACATTCCAAGATCTCCCCTTGCTTTCCCTAAATCAAAGACATAAATGCATCTCTGTGTTAATGAGACAAACATTGTTCTATTTAATTAACACTTGCGTCTTCTGGCACTGCCTAGCTTTGTTTCTAATTGGAAACCACTCTTAGACTCTGCTTGACGCTAAAAAAAAAGCAATTTTGATTTTGGGATTCGATGACTGATGTTACAGAAATATCTTGTACAAATCATATGTATTATTGAAATAGATTGATTTTAGGAATTTTCCTGAATATTAGATTAAAAACTATTTTTATTATGTAAACTTTTAGATATTAGGGTAAGAGGTGAATATATTTTACATCTATACCTGTACCAAGGAAAGTCAGAAGCTACTCTTTCTTTTTCATGCTTCCCCCATTTCTTTTTTCCTTTTTCTTGATTTCTCTGTACTTTAACTTTTTTGAAAACATGAATATATATATGTATGTATGCGTGTGTATGTGTATGTATATATGTATGTATATGCGTGTGTATACACACACACACACACACATATATATATATATATATAAAAAAAACCACTTGCATCTTCTATGCAGACCAAGATTTTTAAAAAACTCAAGTTTACCAGAATAAGGAAATGGGAAATAAGTCAACAAGCCACCGAAGTGTCCCGGTTTTCATGATGCTAAATGAAGCACACAATAGTATATCACTATTAGCGAATAACCTCCAATATTTTATGGCAAGGTCGCATGGTCCAGCAAAGAATTCATGTCTTAAATTATATTTTGCCTGTTTAAATACCACTTCACATACATATGACAATAACGTTCATAAGTTCATCACTTGAGTTTATCCTGCAGTAAGTTATCAGATTTTGCTTTATAACAGCCAGCTGAAATGTGAAGAATGATCACATAGAAGGAAAAGAAAAATGGAAAGACAGAAAGATTTCAACATTAACCATACATGAGTTTTCAGCCTGATTTTTAATAGTGAAACAAATCATTTCAGCATGCATTTTTAACAATATTCTAATCCACATAAAAAACATAGCGCCTGAATTACTAAAACATTTCTCAAGAAGTACATTTTTATGGATTTCAGTCCAAAGTCCACAAAAAGGTAAACAACAATAAAATCTTTTAGCCTAAAACAATTTAAGTTTTTACTGTAAAAGACAAATATAGTTATTGGTCTAGAAACAAATACAGACGCTGCCTTCAAACCAGTTCCAATGTTTCAAAACTCCTATCCCAAGAAATGTTCTAGGTCTAGGAATAGGAACGTTGGAACCAACTATGTCATTTCCTTAGCCTCAATAACATATTTGAGATGAGCAAAAGGATTTGATATGAAAAAGGACTACAACTTTTATTTTTCACTGAAGTTCAGTCAGATATTGTATGGGCAAGACTGAAAAGAAAGTCTATCTCAAGTCAAGCTGAGTTCCTGGTAATTATACAGTTTGTATATTTTTCTTGGCAACAGTAGTGTATGGAAATGGTTCACTACTATCTTCTTCCAGGACACTTTTCAACTTCTCGGTCTACAGCTCTGGATTGTGTAATTCTCTTCTCCAAAGCTGTAACACGAACATTTTGCTCTTCAACAGGCAGCAAGCTGGGAGTCTGTCACTACTGTCCCAAACCATGGCTTCTAGTACAATAATACAATCCAATGGGCTGCCTTTCATTACACTGCATGAGGAAAAACAGCAGCTCGTATATACCATTCTTTGCATCTTACAATGGGGAATTATAAATCACCCCAAACAGTGACCCACATCCACAGCAGAGCATGGAGAGTCCTCTGCAATATATAGCAAAAGATCAATGAAAGCTTAATGCTTAGTTAGAAACAGCGGTATCACTGCCATCTTTTTTTTCCTTTTATCTCATTATATCCCAAAATACTGTACTAGTTTCCTACATTGAAAAATGTGGCTAAATGTGCCTTCATAGAGAAAGTGTGAGGACAAAGGAAAAAAAAGAGGGGATAGAGAACAGCTAAGCTAGATCTGAAAATGGTGACCTATTTCTAGTTATTGTCTACACAGTATGCTACATTTGTGTCAGCCAGTCTCTTCGGTAGTGCCTATTTAAGATCCAAAGTTGCAAGTTGTATCACCAGAAGAAAACGTGCATTTAAGTAATTTAAGTACAATACCAATTATTCCTATTTCTGAAGGATGCAGATCTTGCCAAGGTGCTACTTCTCAGTTACATCACATCCGCATTGTGGAAATGCACTGACTTTGGAAACTACTGTTGATCCATAATTGCTAACCAAGGTTGTGTGCATGGAGCATGATGGTTCCCTTCTTTAAAATAATTGAGTTCCTATTTCTAAATGCTACAGAAGATCCACTGAAGATCTGTAAAGCTTTGAATTGTTTAGGGCCAGATTATTTGAATGGCTACCTTCTCCCATGTTCACCTTCCATGTTCCCCTATCCATCTATTGAGATCCTCTGCTATGACCTTTTGTATAGCCCAACAACCCATAAGGCAGGGTCTTTTGGTGGCTCACTTAAGCTCTGGTAATCCTTTCCAAGGAAAGTCAATCACTTTTTTTAATGTATATTATTTACTGAACATTTTGAGAAAAAATATATATAAACAGAAGGAAAAGACACAAAAAAGTGAAGGATCGGGTGAATAAACAATGGATTTAGAAATGTGTTAAAATTATAACTTTTAAAATATTCCAATAACTGATTACAGATAACTGAATATACTATATTATCTAAAAACCTGAAAATTATGATTAACTCTACACAAAATATAAATATCAAAAGCAATAGACAACACAAAATAAATATAATGAAATTATAAACTGCAATAGATTCCTTTATTTGAAAAAAACAGTATTAATATACAAAATTTAAAAAGCATTATAAACATTAGGAATTGTTTCTGATTTCTAGTTAAGTCTTTTCATCTATTTTTCCCCCTTAGAAAATGTGTTCTAAATTTCTAAGTTTGCCTTGTTTTGTAACATATCATATATAAAGGAGCCACTCTTGCTTGAATTTGAAGGGAAGCCAGTCTCAATAATCTTCCAAAACATTACTTATACAAGAAGGAATTAAATATAATTATACCTTACCATTTTAACCCAGCTCTGCTTTTTAATATTCCAAATATTTTGATTGCTGGGTTTTTGTGTTTCACATGATGCTGTAAATTGGAAGGATCTTTTTAAGTTACTGATTTGCTGCAAACCATCAAGAGCTCTTCAGAGACAAGACTGAGTTTATGTGTTTTCAAATAAATCTGTTGAACAGGCTGGACAAACCACTGCCAATTGCAGAGGTTAATCTTAGTCCTCAATTCCCTTTAATATCGAAAGAAAATCCTGAGGCCTGAACATGTAAAAACCTAATTCTCATCAAAGCAGTAAATCTAATTCAGCTGGAACCAGACTTGACTCAAGATTCTTCACTTAATCAACTAACATATCCAGGAAAAGACTAGCTGTAAGCCTACTCTTCAAAAATGTTTTCTAAGGAATAGGTTGTTTCTTGTAAGGAAGAAAAAATGAATGGATGATGTTAACATCCACTCAGTTATATAAATACATGAAGGAAAACAGTTAGAGCCTGTGGTTGGTGCAACTTTGGGAGAAGCTGTAAGTAGCCTCCATTCTCTCTTTCAAAACTGAGTAACTACCTACATATTCATAAGAAATTAGATCCATTTTTATTACTTGCAACTACCAAATATAATAACCTCGTTTAGGCATTCTCCAAAAAACTCACAGGATATCTGTATTTTCAAGGTCCTGGTTTAAATAGAATTACATATACAGTATATTGTTGTATTTGGGAAAGCTTTCCTGATTGCAGACAACTATGCTGTACCCATGAAGCCAGTATACTTTAATGTTAACACCTGAATTTAGTCATGGTGCATATATTTCCTGTAAGTACAAAGAATAGTGAAATTAAGATATGCATTCATACAAACAGCAAAATAAGGTCAACTAATAATACTTATAGAGCAACCTTTAATCTGATGCCTTCCAGGTATGTCAGTGATCATGTTGACTAAGGATGATAGGAGTTGTTGACCAACACATCTTTCTGGCCTCAGGAAAGAGAAATATTAGGGAGTAGACTCACTCTTCCCTGAAACACAAAAGTGAAATTATGGGGAACCTAACTTTTCCTTTACTCTCTATGATATTTGTCCATGATTTCTCAAGAAAGCTAATTCCTAATATGGAATTAATCATCTTCTCTAACAGACAACAGAACTGCTTTTAAATAGATAGGATTTCTCTGGTATTGCTGAAAAAGTAGGACAATTATGTATAATGTTAAAATTACACAAGGTAGGAAAAGCATGCACAGCATAGCTTCTGGAATTCCTTCCAACCCCTTTGCTAGCAGAAAGCAAATGTTTGTGTGAACATGTTAACTGAGAAGCACAGGGCAGACTCCAGAGCAGCGCTTTTCAACCTTGGCAACTTTAAGGCATGCGGACTTCAACTCCCAGAAATCCCCAGCCAGCATGATCTAGATCAGTGTTTCTCAACCTTGGTAACTTTAAGATGTGTGGACTTCAACTTCCAGAATTCCCTTGATGGCTGGGGAATTCTGGAAGTTGAAGTCCACACATCTTAAAGTTGTCAAGGTTGAGAAACACTGATCTAGATGTTCCACTCTGAGTCATGTACCCAGGACAGCAGCAGGATGAGGCTTTGGAACAGTCACCAATATTCCAAGCTGCTACCCAATTGTTTCTTCCACAAGAATGCCCTGGATGAATTTGGGAGAAGCTGTTTTTCAGCCCATTCTGAAGCATACTCTTTCTTTTGCCAGCTTCTCCCACACATAAAATTTGGTTCAGTTCATTCAGCTTTTGGAGAATTATCCTGCTGGCAGACAGTCAGAAGGTTGGAATCCCAAGCCCCTCTACATAATCTCTTTCTATTATTCCTTTAAGATATAATTAAGATATAATTCCATTAAGACAGTGAGTTTGGTGTTGTGGTGAAGGCACCAGGCTAGAAACCAAGAGACTGGGAGTTCTAGTCCTGCCTGAGGCACAAAGCCAGCTGGGTGGCCTTGGGCCAGTCCTTCTCTCTCAGCCCTAGGATGCAGGCAATGGCAAACCACTTCTGAAATCTTGCCAAGAAAACCGAAGGGACTTGTCCAGGCATTCACCAGGAGTCAATACTGACTTGAAGGGACCAAAAATAATAAATAAATAAAATTATTCCATTGGGTTGGAAAGGATAAAAAGGGTCCTGTCTGCTGCTTTCAGAAAGCTATTAAGGAGAGAAAAGTTAGTCAGAACATCATTTGAGAGGCTTCTATCAAGTACTGATCATGCATTTTCACCATTAATAGTCGTGAGATTAAATATATAAGCTTTATCCCAAGGATTTGTTTCTGAGAAAATAGCCAACCATAGGAGACAAAGCTGGACCTTTTGGATAAATGCACTACAGTTAGAAGGTTACCACAAGTCACAATATATATATCTTTTTTAAATCCCACTGGAAACTATCACAGAATTTCACTGAAACAGACGTTATGTTGAATAGGGGAGGGTGCCCTTGGATGTCCACTGACATCCCACAGATATTCCTTGCTTGCCTACAGCAGTACGCACCAATCAATTTAGATTCACTGACCAGTTTCCATTACAGTACCTTTAATATCCCTGAAGGCCTTTAAAAAAAAAAAGTTAAAAAGATTTACATCTTCCTGTCTCCTCCATGGCAGAGGAGACAGCTTTTGATCACAATACTGTTGCGTCGCACCAGAATGCATAATTTATTAAAGCAATTGGTTCAGGCAAGCACTCCATAACCCCTTTACACATGGGCACATCTGCTCAGTCACACACACACCACACACACGTACGTGTTCATGGATGCCTTATTGATTTAGTGTAGGTTTCCAGAATCACTAGTTAGGCAGAAACCTAGTTTTAAAATGCTAGCATAAAGCAAGAAGCACCCACTGGTCTATCTCATACAAGAAAACACAGCCAGGTAGTTCAATCTAAACTTTAACCTGGAAATTCTAAAGCTGCATATCAGAAGGGCACTGTTACACCCTGATTTTTCCAGAGCTTTCAATAAAGAACCACTGTAAGGCTTATATTTCTGCACAAGATACAGCCATCTTGAATTGAAAACATAAAAAAAGATGCAGGATCAGCCCCAAGAGTAGAAGTGCAAGAACACCAAAAATGGTACATACAGGGGCAAGATAATAATAAACAACACACCACAAAGCAAACTCTTTGTATCAGGTGCCCAAGAATACAAAAATGCATATTTATTTGACACTTGCTGTGTTTCCCAAATCTTGCCAAGTCTGAGTCCATAAAAAGTAATGATGGGTCTGATTACTATTATTTATAATAACAAGAGAAAAGTGATATATTTTCCAAGTTACGATCCTGATAATTTCTATATCCTTCTGCAGAAGGTGGGGTTGTTAGCACATTATATTTGTATGTGTTGGTGCTGATTTGTGGATTTTTGCGTTTATATGTATGGGTTTCTTGAGGTATTTTATAGCCACCTAGAGCCAACAGAATCAAACAGCCCGCAAGCCACATATATACATACACATTTTACCCCTCGTATTTACTTGACTGAAAGTTATCTTCGATAAAAAGGGCTTCTTGCTATTTTTATAAGATACCTGAAGGCAAAACTGTCCTGGAACAGGCAGAATACCTAACATTTTATTACTCAGAAGAACAGTGTTACAAATTAAGCCAAGGAAGATGTTCCTCTATTAGCCTGTCTAACAACATATATTAACCGTTTCTGGTGCACAGATGACCAAAAAGGTAAAAAACATAAAGAATGAGGAGAAATGATCTCTCCCTACCTTTTTCCTCAATAAAAGCTTTTCTTCCCCAGTTCTTAATCACTACAAGATGATGGCTGGAAAATTAAAGGAATTCCAAAATGCAATGATGATACTCAACAATGTGGCCACAATCTAGCTAAATTTCACCACCTTAAAAGGCTCCAATTTTATAACTATTTCTTTGGGGGAAAGCACTGAACTCCACGGACCTGATTTCTAAGGATTGTACACCATTCCATTAGTCTCAACTACCTTATTTTATTGGTTTCATTTAGAACAGGATTCCTCATGAGGCTTTATCTGGCTATCATTCTGCTTGAGTCAATAATTTTATGGAGGTTCCAGATAACATTTTCTTCTATATCCAATCTTCCCATCACTTTTTTTTCCCCAACAAAAGTGGTAAAGATGGGTAAAGATGCAGCATTTTAACTGAAGTCATTAGTCTGGAAATATCGCTCAAGTAGCTTTAGCTGGATTACAAACAAAATACATCATATTTATCCATATATTTATTTTATTTATTAATTTGTCAGGATCTATACCCTGTTCTAATCCAGCAGGACTCTGAGCAGGTTTTGGAAAACATGATTCTGATGCTGAAGTTTTTTAAACAATTATTCTTTTAGCATTACTAATAATATTAAAACTTTGTACTGAATACCAAATATTGAGGTCCTTAATAGTAGGCATTCCTTAAAATAAATATACAACTATATATTCTTAGTAATATATAGTTAACTAAAAATATTTTTGGTTGGCTTTTAGGAACCAGAGCCTCCTTTGTTTCAAGAAACAAGTTAAATGAATATGCAATTTAGGTTATGAATGAGTTCGTGCCTCTGAAGTATAGGTCCCAAACAATAAAAACATATTTTCATTACCTGTAGAGGATCAGGGAAATGACCTTGAGGGAAATAGGCAAGAACTGTTACATAAGCAAAGGGGGTTGAAACATTCCTTAAGTCGCCGACATTACCAAAGGCTCAGTATATAAATGTCAGTTTATTATATATATATATGCCACAGCATAATTTTGCAAGATAATAAGACAACATGTTTACAGGCAATCTGGGCTATTAATCTAGGCTGCCATATGCTCGCTGGTTTACATACCACACTACATTATGATTTGTTTAACCATTGCTTGACCAAGTCTCAACTGGCTGGGTTCAAACATCATGATAAGCAGCTTACAAACCACAATGTCTGCATTTTCACATTGCTAAGACATGTGATCTTTTGCTTTTGGTTTCAGGTGTTCTGTGAACTTAGGCAACAAACCATGGATTAAGCAAGCCATGGTTTACCATACAATGTAAATTCAGCCACTGAGTCAGACTACTGCTTTATCTAATCCAACACCTTAGGCAAGGCATTTTCGATGCTTCTTATCCAAGATCATTTTAGCTGGAGATGCTAGAAATTGCACATTGGTCATTCTGTTTGCAAACAATGTTCCTCTACTCTATCCACTGGAATAAATGAACGCACTATGAAGTTTCATTTTCCTCTCAGCATGTCCAGGTATATCACCATTGTCAGCACCTACACATCAACTCTCACGAGTCCAGAAGAAGATGAGGAAGGTTTCTATGAGGACCTGGACCAGATTATTCGAACAACCCCTGTCAGCGACAAGCTCATCGTTCTGGGTGACTTCAACACTAGGATGGGACAGACAGTGACAGCTAGGAAGGAGTCCTTGGGAGACACAGAGTGCAAAAACTAAATAGCAACGGCCTGCTGCTTCTGAGCAAATGTACCAAGCACAACCTGTGCATCACTAACAAGATGTTCAGACTTGCAAACAAGTACAGAACTACCTGGATGCATCCCAGGTCCAAACACTGGCACCTACTTGACTATGTCATAGTACATCAGTGCGACCTTAAAGACATCACCATCACCTGCACCATGCAAGGTGCTGAGTGCTGGACAGATTACAGGCTGGTCCAGTCGGTCCTCAACCTTTACATCGTATGTAACCAAGGACTGTCAGAAAGTCATTTAACATCAGCAGACTGCAAGACCCAGGCCAAGTTCAATGCTTCCAAGATGTACTTAATGAAAAACTCTCCAGCAATTTACCACTTGTAGGAACTTGTTCTGAAAAGTGGACGCAGTTTAAAGATTCATCATGCAAACTGCAACAACTGTACCCAGACTGAAAACCTGGGCACATCAAGACTGGTTTGATGAAAACCATGAGACCATTTCAGCAGCCCTCCAGGCCAAGAACATGGCCTATGCAGGACTGAAAACCTGGGCACATCAAGACTGGTTTG